GAAGGTCAGTAATACCCAATCTGCTTCCTCACAGACTTCTTGCTTTGGAACTTTTCCCAGCTTTGCCTAGGACATGTTAAGTCTTTTAGAGAAATGAGCTGTAATGGGAAAGGGAGCTAGTATATAGTACTTGTTTGATGCATGATTCCTTAATGCAAGAAACAATTGATCTGGATAGCGTACAAGTGAGAATGGTTTCTGATTTTATAGGGAAAACGCCTCTCTTCTGTTGAAAGAATGAGGGAAAAAAGTGTCCTCCTGAATTCAGTTGTGTGGCATATACAGGACTCTGAAAAAGTGGGAAAAGCCTTTGAGAATCTGAAAGGATACTCTTTTTATCGAATAGCCTATAATTAAATTAATTTTAAAGTTCACATGAAATAGTCACAGCCTGAAAAGAGCTATGGGGTCTAGTTTCATATGCTTTAAAAAGGTTCCTTAGCAATAGAAATGGATATCAGTTATGATATTATTTAACTTCTGACTGAGTTAACGATAAGTAAAAATATAATGTTCCAAGATAGGAATATTAGTTCACAATACTGCTAAATCTTAGGAGTGTCCTAACGACTGTACCTAAGTTCCAGAAGCTATTATAAAACTACTAAAAAAAGCTTACATATGTAATGCAATAATAAAAATACATTCTTTGTCAGCTCTTAACACTGGATTTAACATGTGTCATAAACACTGATAGGAAGGTGCCTAGAAACCCTCTCATAATAATACCTGACTAGATTCATTTCAAAAGAGTTCCAGAAGATGGTCTCACTCCATAGTCATCCTCCTCAACCTGTCAAAACAGTCAATCACCCATTCTCCTCCTCTGCAGATTTCTCTCCCTGGGCGTTAGTGATTCTGATGCCCTCTTTCTTCTTCTACCTCTCTACCCAGCATTTCCTCTTCATCTTCTCTTTAGTTATCCGTTGGTGTGCACCTGGGTTCTGTCCTTAATCCCATCCTCTTCTACCCTCTCCTAACGAAAATTCATCTGCTCATGCTGTATCAATCTTTGTAAAACTGCAATTTAGCAAATTATGTAAAGGACAATTTATCATATTATTGTAAAGAAACTTTAAATACATGCTACTTAAGTAGAGTACACAGGAATCTGCTCTATTCAGTGATTGGAGATTATCTGCAACTCCTTTTACTAAACAGAAAGTTAATATAGCTCTTGTATAAATGGTTATCTTGAACATTACATATCTCTATCTGTCTACCCAAACTATCTTTGTGCAGTTTTGGATTGCTGACTGTCCTTCTGATGTCTCCTCCAAGATTATCCTTCAACTATGACAACCTCAAAAGCGTGAAAACTGAACTTCTCAACTTTCCTTCAAAAGCTTTCTGCTCTCTTTTCCTTCTCCATAACCTTAGACTATTCCAGGTTCTTTTTAAATACTGTTGTTTCCGCCTCTTCATCACCTCTAAAGTCCTTCTGTCTTGCAACTTCCTCCTGTCTGGTCTCCATGCATCTCATTTCATTCCACCCCCTCAGTTTCATCAAAAAGCTACTCCTAAAATTAATCTCCTCCTCCAGCTGCTTTGACCATTTAAATCTCCTATTTGAATTTGTTCAGTGGTTTACTCTTATCTTTTGCATCACGTTCAATTCTTTGTAACATATCACATTATTAAACCCGTCCCTAATGTATATAGTTCCTCTCACTTCTTCTTGCCGCCCTCCCCACATGCCTTTGTTGACACAAACCTGCCTACTGAGAACCCTTGGAACAGGGTGGCAGAATTCTCTGTTGCCCACCTTAGGAGCAGTCGTTGCAACCTGGCAGGGAGCTGAAGGTTAATTACTGCTGACTGGAGCAGACATAGCCCATTAGATAATACACTATATGTAAGTAATAGCCCTTTGAAATCAGAATATAGGGCCTGGGACAGACAGGTAATAAGGGAAGTAATCTAGTCTTGAAGAAATGAAAAATAATGGGGATGAGGCAGTGAAAGGAGGATGTATCCATCTAGTTATCGTTCACAGTAAGCACATCTTTCCCTATTGCTTATGGTATGAAGAATATAAAATGTTTAGTTGTATCCCTCATTTTCTTGAATATATTGTCATGGGCTAAAATTCATACAAGGCACCACTTAATTCCTATTTAAAGCCTTAAGTGTGACTTAAGCAGTGTACCGACCTTGCACTGGCCCTCAGTATAAATTTCACAGAGAAAGGCTATCATGTGAGCTGCAACAGACATCTGAGCTTTTTGCCATCACAAGATATTTAGTGTAAAATACCACTTATGCTTTAATTACTGTGAATCCAGCAGAAGCATAATTCTTATCAAATCAATCAGCAATGTGAATTTATTTATTTACTGCTCGCTTCTGAGGCCAACATTTTAAATTTATGAAATAGTTGTGAAAAATGTTTATTGGTTTGTATATCCATAATATCCAGCTCTAACCTTAAAACATGTTCAAGAAGTTGTACATTTTACTAAAAAGGAATAGGAACAGGCATTCCACAGCTTCTGTTGAAAATGGTTGCAGAGACCACATAAATTGGGTTATAAAATATATATTATTTTTACTAGTGCCTCTAGCCTATTTCTTGGCTTCAGTGGTTCTTTAACATTGACTAACATCAACTTCTCCACATGGACTACATTTTTCTTTTATTACTGCCATTCTATTTTCTACTCTCATCATGCTACAGAGCAGCCTACATTTTCAGGAAAGTCCTTGGATTAAGGGCTTTATGGAAAATTACAAGACCTTAGCCAAACACTGTAATTCCAGACAATTCAGGGCAGATTCAGTGGATAGGGTAGACTGACATGATAAAACTGAACACAAGGCCATTTAGGGGGAAAACCAAAATATGATAGCAAAAAGTACAAAACAGGTGAAGGATAATTATCTAGGAGAGGAAGAAAAAGATATGAAGGCTTGTAGGAAACCTGGAGGAAATGCATTTTACTTTGGAAAGGACAGAGATTAGAAGAGTAATGGGAAGGTTAAGAAAAAACAGCTTAGAAAGAAGAGACAGGGAGCAAGATACTATAATTATTTAGGAAAAATGGTAAGCATGCTAAAGAATAAAGGAGAACATCAACCAGTCAGAAAAAAGAAAATGTTTGCAAGATAGAAGGTCAAATACAAGAAAAAGGCAAATGTATTGGGGAATTTAAAAACTAAATTCCAAAATGTTAATCTTGTCTCAACCTACAAAAACAAAGACATGCAAAGTTAAAGCTGACATTCTGTTTTAGCCTGCTACACTGTGCCTAAGAACTATAGCCAATCTGGTATTTAGTGCAGCCCTCCAGTATATTAAGAGAATATTTAATTCTGAATTTCTCTGGACTTGGATCCTAACTCTGAAGGTCTAATAACAGTACTTTCTCCACTGAGGGGTAGCTTGTCTTTGGAATTTGCCTTACACATTAGTCCAAGATTGCATGAGTTTATTAACCTCAGGGCACACTGATATTCTTCAACTATCCAAAAATAAGTGAAAGGGGCAAAAGATAGGCTGTTCAGCGGTTCTTAAACAAGCGGACATTTACTTCCCTCTCGCACTTCTGAACTATACAACAGACAGTACAGTATGTTCAAATTATGTGGGGTTATTCAATCCAACAGTGTTCTCTCAAGCTTTTGATGCCTGACTGTGTAATGCTGCACAGGATGAACGTTTGTAAACAGCAGGTATTTTTGCCTGCTGTTCATAAACAGCTCATTAGTTCTAAAAGTAGCAGAAATGGGTAAGTGCGACTTTAAAGTAGCTTGGCTGTTTCACATGCAGCTGAGGAGAAAGGACATTATTGGTTTAATTTAAAGTTAAAATCCAGTGGCCTGATTTTCAGAAGTTCGGCTCCCATTGAGTCTGGGGGAATTGCAGGTGTTCAGTTACTGAGGAAATTAGGCCATTGAAAACAAAAACGTGTAATTTATTTAGGAACAAGGGTGAAATTATAACATGCAATAAAAAACAAACCCTTTTTACCAGCCGCCCCAAAAAATGTACACTGCAAAGAAAATTAAAATATATTTTTGGTCATGATTTGTATTAAGGTTCAATTTATTAATGGTTGATAGAGGGTTAATAAGAGGTTACAAGTATGTTATATACATGACTAGCATACCTTATCAATGGTTAGAAGCACACCTGGAGGCTTATATAACAATCTAGAAGATTAATCTTTTATTAAAATATATATTGTCATTTATTAACTATTTATAAAGGTAATATAAAGTGACCATATTTGGCTTTTTCAGTGCATAGACTATAATGGAGTTTCATCCAAACCAATACGAAGCCATTAAAAATATGCTTGCATAGTGCTGAGCTGGCAGAACAACAATTCATTCTTGTAAAAATGAACTGTACAATAAACGGTGACAACATAGACATGTGTACCTGGAACATTCTGATGATGAGTCTGCCATTTTGTGCAAGAAAGGCCCAATTAATGGTGTGCCACCAACTGTCTCCCCCCTCTTTTCCCCCCCCGCCCCAAATTTAGACAAACTGACAGACACACACACACAAAAAATGAGCCAATGTCAAACCCATATTCATCCAGAGTAAAATAGCAATTCCAATGAAATATTCCCTTCTGACCTCTCCCCTCCCTACCTCTTTAAGATACCAACCTGAGATTCATCCATCCTTCTAGATAATTAATTTGATTGTTACAAAGGGGGAAAAAACAAAGATAGCTAACAGACTGCATTAGCCACAATTGCCAATGAACCCTCTCAAAATAAGATGCTTCACTCCTCCCCACCCCAGCATGTACACAATTATTTACTCTTTTCCTATTTACACTTAACACAGCATTTATAAAAGTACCATTGATTTTTTTAAAGTATTATTATCTGTAAGTGGTAGCTGGCATTCCAAATTACAATTTATAACAAGTTTAAAGCTCCTTGAAGGTCACTTGATGCAAGTTTACTACTTGGCATTCATTTAGCGAGAGAGAGAGTGTGTAAAAGAGAAAAGCAGTGCAACATGCTTTTTTTTTTTTTACCTTGCCCTTGTCAAAGTAATGGATAATTTCTTGATAAAGCTGATCTTTAAGTTGTCCTTGAGTAGTTGCCTGGTATCCATCTCGCTGAGTAAGATGTGCTGCACATGCCTCTTCTGACCACTAAACCAGATATGAAGAGTGAAAAAAATGAAGGCAATAAAAGGTGATGTAACATATCAATGACATTGGGCTAATGCAAACGTTCAATCTTGGTTTATTTTTAAAAGTGCCATCAGGGCTGGCCCGATATTTAAAAGATTTTACAGCACCTATGATGCCGTATTTTGATTTCCAGGGCAGTGGAGTTACTTACCTGACCTATAGTAAATATAGGATGGTTTATATATCTCAGCATCAGCTAAGGGACAGGTCTTTGAGGTGGTTTCCTTTTCTCCTTGATAGAAGGGATTAGAGTGACCTGGCACTCTTGATCAACACAGTTGGCTGGATAAATAACCATTATTAGTAGGTTTACACTGAGAGAAAGCCTACAAAACTGGGTTATGTCAATATGAGTGGACAGAACTGTATACATAGAAGGTAAAGAGCTAAAATTCTTGGAGAAAAATGACTGGAGAAAAAGGAAAAATAGCAAACAAAAATATAAAGGCTGCCTGAAATTGGTGTGCATGTGGGGGAAGGGGGAGAGGGGATCTTGATCTTTGTAACCTTCTAAACAATTTGACTCCATGACTATCTTCATTAAGGTTGAGAGGGTCTTTTCCCCCAATTGCTGGCTCAATGAACAACAGACTGTCTCACACTTTGATCCTACCATACCAAGGCATGATACTTACCATAGAACAAAAAAAACAGTGCCAACTATCAGAGATGCGATGATAAGCCTGCATGGCCCACAACCTGAAATGTCCTGTTACAAACACTGTCTTTAAAAATATGTAATTTATATACAGATGTGTTTTCAATAAGAACATTAGGGGTATAGTGTTTTATCTAAAATATCCATCTGGGAGGTGGTAAGGGGGAGGGATAAGGTGAAACTTCAAGTAGATTAGAAAAATAAAATTCAAAGAACTGCTCATTTGCTCCTACAGAATGTAAAATTATTGTTTTCTTGTCCCCAAAAGTAAAAGGTACAACTTTGGGATGAAAAGGAGTCCCTGCAAGGGCAGCAATTCATAGATTCATTGACAGAATTTAAAGTCAGAAGGGACTATTAGGTCATCTAGTCAGACCGCCTACATATTACGAAATTTCACCCAGTTACTCCTGCATTGAGCTCAATAACTTGTGTTTGACTAAAGCATATGTTCCAGAAAGACATCCAGTCTTGATTGGAAAGAATCAACAGACAGAGAATCCATGACTTCCTTGGTAATCTGTTCCAGTGGTTCATTACCCTCACTGTTAAAACTGTGTGCTTTATTTCTAATATGAATTTGTCTGGATTCAGCTTCCAGCTTCCATTGGTTCTTGTTATGCCTTCCTCCACTAGATTAAAGAACCCTTTGACACCCATTATTTTCTCCCCCTGAAGGTGCTTATGTACTGTAATCAAGTCACCTCTCAATCTTCTTTTTGATAAACAAACAGATTTAGCTATTTAAATGGGTCACTGCTCCTAGATTTATAATTTTGATTAGATTACCAAGCAATTAGATTTGATTAACAACCGATTAGATTAGATTACCAAGCGATCCAGACCACTCAGTATGACAATCTATTTGTCTGGGCTAGAATAATTTTAGTATATACTCTATAGAATGAGTTTAATCAGAAACAAGTTGCATCTGGAAGGAAGAATAAATGTGCTTCCAAAGACCCAGTGATAATTTCAATTTTCAAGTCTCCACTGCTCAGCTTCAAGTCACATTTCTATAAGTAGCCACTTTTTTGTATGCAAAAGCCATATTGCTAAACTACACAAATTCCAAAGGAGTCTAAAATGCAATTACATTTTTCCATACACAAAGAGCTACTGTGTACTATTAGCTTGAACAACTTAATTTAGACCAAATGAAAATAACAAGAAAAAACATTTCCATGAGACAGAAAGTCTCCATGAGTGAGTGTGTGTGTGTGCATCCGTCCAGCCAGCCTATATATGGTGTGGAGTAATTCTAAGAACTAAATAGCTGCAGATTTAAAGGTGGGATTTTCAAAAGCACTCAGGGTTGACCTAAGTCTCATCCCATTAAAACCGATTTGTGTTTTACCATTGACTTCAATCTGACGACATTTATTCTAGTGCTGAGTGCCATTGAAAATCCCATCCTCAAGATCCAGTGGAAAAAAACCTGAAGCTTTGAAGTTTAAAGTTACAAGCTCCACAGTAATAAAGAGACACTACATGAACTGAAAAAGAAGTAAATAAACTTTAGAAATTTTGACATAATCCAACCATTCACTGAAGGATTTAGAAGAAAACATTTCTCAGGGGCAGGTTATCCCATAATGCCTACTGAGGGGTTTCTTTCACCTTCTTCTGAAGTATATGGTCTTGACTACTATTAGAGACAAGCTATCAAACTAAATGGACCACTGGTCTCATCAAGTACTTTCCTATGGGAAGTAAAGTAGACTGTATACGCTTTAGGATGTGAAAATCACAACAGATCTGACTTATTTGTAAGCCAAAGCAAATGCTACTTTTATTTTTGCTATTTTCTATTGTCTTACATTGCAGAAGTAGAAAACTGATTATATGATGGATATTTCATTTCAATTAATTAACAGTAGTAAATTAAAATACTCATCTGGTATCTGAAAATATTTTATAAGGGAGAATAAAAATATATTCCAAAGTGTAGTTAATTGAAATAGTTTAAACTCTAAATTGAGGACACATAAAAACATATTGATTAAAAAATTGCAAAATCTAATGAGTAAAAGACAGAGTGAAATAATAATAATAATAATAATAGAGATATCCTATCTCCTAGAACTGGAAGGGACCTTGAAAGGTCATCGAGTCCAGCCCCCTGCCTTCACTAGCAGGACCAAGTACTGATTTTGCCCCAGATTCCCAAGTGGCCCCCTCAAGGATTGAACTCACAACCCTGGGTTTAGCAGGCCAATGCTCAAACCACTGAGCTATCCCTCCCCCCAAAGTACTGATTTTGCCCCAAATCCCCAAGTGGCCCCCTCAAGGATTGAACTCACAACCCTGGGTTTAACAGACCAATGCTCAAACCACTGAGCTATCCCTCCCCCACAACCTTACAACCTTATCTTGCACTCTGAACTCCATCATCTTCCTGGAAGATGCAGCACCTCAGTAGAGGGAAATGTTTTATCTGGTCTATCAGACTTGGTTGTGGAACATATGATCAAGCAAGTTATGACAATCTAGACATCATTTAATAACTCCAGTAAGAAAATATTATCCAGACTGTCAATCCCATTTAATTTCCCTAATGGGAATAACAGAGATCCTTGTGTCCACAAAATCAGCTAGTTATTCATTCAAATTTGTAATCAAAACCCCCTGGAAAATTCAGTGTGACTGAAGGTGTCAGAGCCATCTTCTCAAATCTTTATCTTCATAAGTTATGTCTCTGTATAGTATATTTCATTATGAAAGCAATAACTTATAAAAGCACTTTAGCAATAGCTTTATCCTTTAAGTGCCAGCTGAATATCATTGACATTTTCATTTTTATATAATCACCAATCAAGTTTAAAATAAAGTGGAGTATATACCGTTGAAAATGTCTTCACACAATTCCATAAAAGTGTTCTGAACCACATTCAACCTTACAACTACAATTTTGGCACAATGTATTCACAATCCTGAGAGAAAAGTAAGAAGGCGCCCAGGATAGCCTTTAAAAGTGTTTCAGTCAACATTTTCAATTGTGTCTTTCTAAATGCAAGTTTATTTATTCTTTATTCCAAACATTTTTCTCTGTGTTCCCCAGATTAAAACTACTAAAACTACTTTGCTGCAAATTATTCGCTAAAAATCCTTATGAAATTAGTTGCTGTTTGAAGGGCCGACTTCTTTCTTATGAAGGACAACTCTATCTTTCATATATCCGATAACTGGTAGGTTTTTGTCCTTTGGCAAATAGCTGTTGACGTGGGGTTTTTTGTAGTGCTTTCCACTACAGGATACTGCACTACAAAATCATAAAAGCTTTTAATTTATACGTCTGTTAAAGCTCTAGTACAAATACTGAGCTACATATTGTTTATATCTCTATGCATACACATATATACATTTTTACATAAATGCACACTTTCTAAATTGATGAATTATTTTGAATTATTGCTATCACAACAATGAAATATTATAGTGACAAATTACAAGAATTAAACTACTTTGTACTCACAGTTGTATGCTTGAGAGTGCAAATTTGGGTTTTACAAATGAAGTGCAAAGACAAATTTTGCATGCAAAACTTAAGCATTAACCTTGCAAAATGTGCATTAACCTTTTGTTACTTTGCCTATCAGTCAATTCTTTGTGGAATTCAGGGTTATCATTCTAGTTCTCACAGGGAAGTTCCCATGACTATTTTGATTCCCACTTTTGGAAGCTGTGATTTCACTATACATACCTATTTTACCATAAACACTGTTTTCCATCAGTTACCTATACAGAAGCCTCATTCTAAAAAAAATCTTCAGGGCTGGACAAAGTATTTTGCATGGAAACTTTTTTCATTGTAGAAAAATGACCTTTGTTCAAAACTGAAACTTTTCATGAAAAACGGTCAAAATTATTGACATTTTCAATTTTTTGCAAAAATGTTCATAACCTGTCATAATATTTTTATAGTTTTCACCAAATTTTTATTGAAATGTTTATCAAAATTGTTACGGAAAAATTTAATTTACCAATAACTGTCTTTTCTTAGAGTTTTCAATAAACAAAGTATTATTAAAATGAATGCAGTACAAGTTTTCATAAAAATATAATGGAAGATTTCATAGAAAATGGGTAATTTCAAACTCTGCTAAACAGAAATAACAAACAATTTCAAAAATTTTCACCAAATAATTTCCCTATTTTTACATGTTTTAATTATCATAATAAAATTAAAGTTTATAGAAGGACATGCTTTCTGGTATATGTGCTGCATGAACATCAGCTCACTTATGCAGCTCTCACACACTGAAGACCAAATTCTTCTCTCAATAAGCATATGAAATTCGCATTAAAGTCTATGGGAAGAATGATCAAAAGAGTGAAGATCTTGACACACTGAAGTTTATGCACTATCCAAACTCAACCCCCAAATTTAATTCTTTCTTCTACTTTTCCATGTCTCATTCTTTGAGCTCCCTTCCAGTGACACAGGATCTAACCCTGCAAAGACTTATGCCAATGCTCAATTTTATGATGTGTGGGTAGCCCCATTGACTCCATATGCACGAAGTTAAGTACAGATGTAAATTTTTGCACAATCAGGGCCATAAAGAGAAAAACAAAGATTTTAAAAAATCTGACTATTTCCAGTGTGAAGTTTAGATTTCTACTTCACCCCCTCTCTCTTTTAAAGCTAAAAATAAAAACTCATTGTCATTCATTAACATGGGTGGAGTAATAAAGTAAAAATGTGATTTCAAAATGGCATGCATACTGTTGAAGTGCAACTGGAATCTTCCTAGATGACAATTCAGGGAATAAAAGAAACTGTTAATATATACAGCAATATTTATGATGTAATGATGTAATTAAGCCACTAGTTTTAGATAACAATATGTATAAAGTGAAGCTTTTAAGTGACATTACATTATGGCTGTAATCAAAGCTATAAAAAGGTAGGTATTATTACCTGGTAATATTAAAATTCTGTATGTTTTATTAAGATGTAATATAATTAATTTAATTTATACTACTAGTCTATTTATTGACCTATTTCAGACATTCCTTAAAGTACAGTGGTATCATTATATGAATTTAGATGCATTCAGTACATGATACCATTGAATTATCATAGACACTCCTTTAAAACGACATGATCTTGGAAGGAGGACTACTGTTAATTTTTCCCCAATGTCTTGAACCAAAGGACTAAGTTTAAAATCCTCCATAACAGTGCACTGAGCTTCCACTAGGCTCATGGGCTGACCCATTTATTACTATAGCACAGTTGTCTATGAAAAGCTGATTTGCAAGAACAAATGCTTAGATTCTTCCAAAGGTTACTAGCATTCCTATGCATTTAGCTAATTGTTAGCTTTTTTATTGATAGTTTATGCTATTTACTCTTGATTTTATTGCACTTTTACTGCTGATATTTTAGATCATCCTCATCAGTAAGTCATATTGCTCTTCTATGAGACTGAGAGAACATGGATTCAATTTTCATTCTCTAGGCTAAGTACTACGGTTACAATAATATCTAATTATGGAACATATAGTAAATCACAATACAACTTTGAGTTACTTCCTTTTTTATTTTGAATAAGTCAATAATCATAATTTGTAAATGTGGATGTCCTAAAGCTCATATGAAAAAATAAACACAAAGCTACATAGTAATCTGCCAACAGGAAAATCTTCAAAATGCTTAATATATTTCAAGTACTCTACCTTAAGAAGCTTTGCATGCAGAAGTAATGTGTAGGCAGCTTCAGTGTAGTTATCACACTCTTTGTGCAGGTCACATAGCTTGTACAAATATCTACGGTAATAAAAGAGAGTCAGTTCTTAAAATGTCACAAAATAATTTGTGTTGAAGACTACAACAGATAAATTCTATGTTCAAACAGTAAAACATATCCGGTATTTTTTAAAGCTCATATTTCTCTACTTCAGACAAATTTTTAGAATAAAGCATGCCAAGAAAATCAACAGCAACATCAACAAAATATACTGGTATGTTTTCGAATAGCTATAAAACTGTAACTTGTTCTGATGTCCTGTTTTTTGGAGATGAGCGGAAAAAAAAAAAAGACAAGTAAAGAGTTTGATATAAAAGTGTAATTCTCTTTAAAGAGCAACACTAGCAACTTGCAGTCCTCACTTCATTTTCCCAAACCATTCCCGTCAGATAAAAAATTCAGACAGAATGATAGGAAAATAAATATAAAATACTAATTATATGAGAAAGAACAATAACTTGCATTTCCATAATGCCTTTCTTCCAAAGAACTGAAAATGCCTTGCGAATATTAATGAATTTAACCTCACATCACACCTGTGTGGTAGGTGGTATTATCCTAATCTTATAGATGGGGAAATAGACACAGGAGAACAAAGCAATGGGCCCAGAATCATACATGATGTCTGCGGCAGAGCCAGCAAAGAACAAAGGTATTCTGACTTCTAGAACCTCAAGACCAGCCTACATCCTGATAAGAATTCGGTTTTGTTTTTTGTAGCAATTAACAAAAAATAGATTAATTGTGTACTTTAAAAATCAATTTAAATACAAGCTTCAGTGCCCATATTAAACTGAGCCAACAGTTTCTGTTTACAGAAATAGGGTTTGATTCCCATTGACTTCAATGGCTTCTCGATTGGCCTCATACAGATGTTGTATCAGACATATGCATGAATAATGCTCTTGAATGCACTTTCATAGTCAGCAATCTATCCTTCTGTTGCAAGGCACAAATTTAGTGCTTTAAGAAAAAAAGGCAGGTACATGACGAGAATTATGTTACTCTTTCTCCCAAGATGAGAATAAGTGGCTAAGAATGAATGCATAAAGGATATGCAAATACCCATAACACAACAACGAGAGAATCTGTTTCTTCATTTTATCAACAGTACAGCAGATGGAGTATCTTAAATTGATGTAAAAACATGGGAGTAGCAACAAAGTTCACTAGAAAACTGCAATCAGAAGCTATCTTGCAATGTTACCATTTTTAAAGTTACATAATAAAGGAAAATGTTATATGGACTCCTGAAAGCTTTAAACTTAAAATAAATATTTGACATATATTCATTAACGGTCTTTATTCCAGCAGATTTTGTAAATTGGCAGAAAATAAAATTCAATCAGTTCCTTGCTTTTCTTTTGCCTTAATTTTCTTCTGTAGGCAGGGCCGGCTCCAGCATGTCTGTCGCCCCAAGCAAAAAAAAAAAAAAGCCGCGATCAGCGGCGGCAGTTCAGCGGCAGGTCCTTCGCTCCTAGAGAGAGTGAGGGACCTGCCGCCCCTGAATTGCCGCAGGTGCCGCCCCTCTCCCTTGGCCGCCCCAAGCACCTGCTTGTTATGCTGGTGCCTGGAGCCGGCCCTGTCTGTAAGTCATAATACCTTTATGTATTTAAATAGTTATAATAATGAAAGTGAAGGTGATGCAGTAGGGTTAAAAAAATTTATGAGCCTAATTACTGATGCTTATTATTCTCTGTAAACTCAATCTGCTTACGCCTCGGTACAGGAATGTGCCTCTCATTACTGCCATTTCCCCCCCTCCAAATCAGTAGCTTAGTAGACAATTCATTTTCTCCAATTACAATAAAGTGAGCTGGAAAAAATATGTCAAAGGGCATGCTTACACACCTTATGTACATTTCTTCTCTTTCAATTTCTTTGTAGAAATTCTGAAATATAAAATAATTCGGTTTTAAAGACTTTGATTTCACAGTGTGCCATGTACATAGAATACATACTAAATTAAAAGTTGTAAGTGCATAATATCAACCTCAAAAACTGAAAAATGAAATTTGCCTCTGGTAGAGAAGCCTGTAAGTTATTTAACTATAAAATCTAAAACCATGATGATGTTTCATTGCATAACATTTTACAGCTTACGTTCCACTGCAAAGGTTATGAATCAGAATCACAGTACTGGCAGAAATATACTTCGGGCATTTGCAAGTTACACAGCATTACCAAATTTTAACTGAAAGTAGTTTGTCTACAAAACCATAATTTTAAAGTAACTGTTGAACTATGATTTTTAAACTCTCAACCTTGAGTAATAAGTCATTCACTCTTGAATTCTAATATTTTCTTCAAAAACAGAAAGTTAAAATTGTTCCTTTTTCGGTTTTTATATACCACATCTCATCCTCCTGCAGGAAATGCCTGAATGCCTCTGGCCTTGAGAGAGACAGAGATAAAGTACTGCAAATATTGGAAATGTATGATATGAAACATTAGGAAAGATATTAAAGATGCTAAGATTTACCAAATTTTTTTCCCAACTGTCACGGGGAGACACTGTTCCTTTAAGAGGAAAAAGGCTAGTGCACCTGTGACTAATTAGCTGCCTCTTAAACTGGGTTTAAAAGAAGGCATCTATCCCATATAAGTGGGGAGAGACTGAGAAGGAGTCATCAGAAAAAGGGCAGGTAAGGTAAGGCTGCCTGGGAGTGAAAGATTGACAGGCAAAATCTGCCAGAGACTAGGAGACTGTAGAACAGGGGTGTGCAAACTATGGCCTGTGGGCCGGATCTGGCCCACGAGCTGTTTTAAGCCGGCCCGCTAGCTGCGGCCGGGGAGCGGAATGGGGGGCCGCACCACGCAGGTTGGCCCCACTCAGGTGCTCCGGCCTGGGTGGTGGGTCAGGGGCTGCACCACGCAGCTCCGCCCCACTCTGGTGCTCCGGCCAGGGTGCTGGGTCGAGGGCCACACCACGCAGCTCCTGGAAGCAGTGGCATGGCCCTCTTCTGGCTCCTACGTGCTCCAATGGCCCCCTTCGGCGCTCCAATGAGAACTGCAGGGGCGGTACCTGTGGATGGGGCAGCGTGCAGAGCTGTTGGGCCACGCCTCCGCATAGGAGCCAGAGAAGGGACATGGCACTGCTTCCAGGAGCTGCTTGAGGTAAGCGCCGCTCGGAGCGTTCACCCCTAAGCCTCTTCCCGTGCCCCAACCCTCTGCCCCAGCCTTGATCCCCCTCCCACCCTCCGAACCCTTGGTCCCAGCCCAGAGCACCCTCCTACACCCCAAACTCCTCATCACCAGCCCCACACCAGAGCCTGCACCCCCAACCAGAGCCCTCATCCCCTCTTGCACCCCAACCCCAATTTTGTGAGCATTCATGTTTCCCTTCTCCAGCTCCTACATGGAGGCATGGCCAGGCAGCTCTGCACGCTGCCCCATCTGCAGGCACTGCCCCTGGAGCTTCTGTTGGAGCACTGGAGGGGGCCACTGGAGCGCGGCCATGCCACAGAAGCCGCATGGTGCGACCCCCGACCCAGCGCCCTGGCTGGAGCACCGGAACGGGGCTGAGCCGCGTGGTGTAGCCCCTGACCCCGCTTCCCTGCGGGATCTAGCGGGTCAGCTTAAAACAGCTCAGGCCGGATCCGGCCTGCACTTTGCCCACCCCTGCTCTACTAAGTACGAACTAAATTCATCCCTGTGGCAAAGGGCAAGTGCAAGGCCTATGTCCCATTTAAGTCCTACTTTGAGGTTTTAAGAAATAATTAAATGGTGAATTCATGTTAGGCTGGCCCTCTGTACAAGGATGAATTTCCCCCTAGGCGCACTAAGGATGAAAAGATTATGTTAAACCCAAAGGCTGAATACATCTTTAAAATGAGACCATGTCATCAAATATGATTTAAAATCTATGAGCCAAGTACTGCCCTGAGATGTTTGCATGCATCTTCCAATGACTTCAATGGGAGTGTTGTGTGGGAGTATCTGAGGGCAATTTGGCTCAATGACAATAAATCCCCCACAAAATTTACCATATGCAAATATTTGAAATATTGAGATCACATCCAGTATAACAAAAATTCAGCATTCAAAAATGTGTCTCTATATAGATGAAGAAAGAGGAGTATATTAACTGAAAGACAAGATGTGGTTAGAGAGACACCCGAGTGCACATTTAGATTCCCATATAGCTGATATGACAAGTTTTACTAAGAAGGATTCTCAGAGTTGACATTAAAGGAAAAACAACAAGCATAGGGTATGAAGATGGGAAGGAAAAATAAACCTCTTTCCTAGTAGACTTTTCCAGTTTTATAAATGACTATAACTTGTTTTATATCTTCTTAAAAGCCACCACAAATGCCTCTTTATTTTTGTAATTTCTTTGTCAGTTACGAACAGGCAGCCTCTTGTCACTCTAATTCTACTCAGAATGGCATGCTGCCTCTTCTACAAGCAATCTAAGTCATTCCTTGGATCACTGATCAGTGGCAACTTCAAGAGTTCTCTCCTCTTCAGAGTATAAAGTGCTCAGTCTCTGCTGTACATACACAAGAAAAGCAAACTCTAATGCAAATTGTCATTTCTAAATTGACAGATCTGTATGCTGTGCCATTCTGTCACATGGGTTTGGCAACTGGGCCAAGTAATCCACCATCTGTGCAGTCTCCGTCATACAACCAATGAAATTGTTTCATGCAAATTAGCTTCAGAATAAAGCTGGTAATTGGTTGAGTTACCTCTGATGTCTTGGAAAGAAACCACTTGCCACTTGCAAAGCAAGGGACAGAGGCACTCTGACTCACCACCACAGGCGGTAAGAAGGAACTGAGAGGGCACAGGGCTGACGGTGCCTGATATACCGCAGCATGAGCGCAGCACTCCAGGAGGCGCCACAGCCGGCTCTACGGGTACCGCTAAGACAAAAATCTCAGATGGCTGCGCACATGGGTACGCGCACACCTGCAATGGAACTGACATAAGCAAGCATCTGAAGAAGAACCCAGTGATATTCTGAACCAAAGGAGCTCTCAACCATTCTTGTAGCTGCTTCCATCACTTCACACTGTCTCAACAGATATTTTAGGCTTTAAAGTAACACACAGGTGACAATCCTGGTATCTGACTGTACAGATGATGATGTGGTAGATGGGTTGTACTGACAGGAGCTGAGGATGACTACATTACTCCCTTTCTAAATTCTCCCTTAAAAAAAATAAAATGAAAAAGTAAATGTGCCAAACAATATTTTTCAAGAACTCCCCTCTTTAAATCAGATTCATCAGCCTAACAGCTGGGTGAAAATCATAAGATCTTTCATTTAGAACAAACAGAAGCTTGCTTTTAAAATTAAAAATTCAGTACCCATTCTAAATTTAGCCGACTCATTTCTTCTCACTCACCAGTACATTGACAGTGCAGCTCATGCGATTTTCTTTGTTTTCATCGTGCATTATAGTTCTGTAATCCAGCAGTCTTTCCATCAGACGGACAACAAGTTTGACAAAAGTTTCTCCATTTTTAGCAAGATATTTGTGTTTTCTGCAGTGCTCCAAGAGTCTGAAAAATAATTACACGCTCCTTGTTAAACACATTCAAGAAGAGGTACTAAACTAAGGTGCAATTTTAAATATTTTGCACCATTAACAGATTTTAATTATTTCTGGGCTACAAAGTTCATTGTAGTCTAAATATATTCTGACTTAAATCCCACTGCTAATCAACACTTACATTTTGTCAAATAACACTTTGTACTGTTCATCTCCTCTGCCTCCTTCCACTTCATGATCCAGTTTTGTGATGATCTCGTTTTCAAACTATAATAAACAGAGCAAGCATAAATAATCAGTATGGCAAATATTTCATTTTATTACTGTAGCATTAATGGCTCATAGATTGGTTGGATATCTCTATGATATGTTTAACCACTGTTTTTAAGCCTGATTGATTTTAAAAGTCTGCAATCTCAGATATCCATTATGATCTGCTGCCCTATAAGGATTTTCATTTGGGGAAACCATTGGTCATGTTGTTAAATGAAGCTTAAATATATGCATTAGGGAAATCTAAATAAGGTGGCTGATGACAGGAAGGAGTGTGTGTGGGGGGACACACACAATTTCGCCTCCAGTGATTACAATAGCAACAAATACAACTCAACTGGATGAACATCCTAACATCTCTTTTTGGCTCACACTGTAACACACCTAATAGACAGTTTCAATGTCATTCCTGAAGGGAAGAGAGTTCTTTTGAATGGGTTAAGATCAGTATTTGTATTTAAGAAGTTATGAGAGTACGCACTCAAAGGGATATTAACTATTTTAATAGTGGATTGGATAGTTCCATGGATTTTTAATGTAGTACAAAGCCTTTTGCCTCTAGTTGCCATGCCATTTTGAATCTGGTCCAGGTTGGTAGTAAACTAAAGTTGTTACCACAGGATTGGTGACTGGCAACCTACCATACATGGAATGAGTGATGTTGTCTTATAATATCTAGGGTACAGGTATCCACATCAGAAATATATATACTATTTAGTATCCATTGGCGGAAGGGCCAGAATTGAATGGGCCAATGACACTGAACTACCTATCACAGCTGGAGGTAGTCCCATTAGGTCAGAGTGGGAGTACATTGGTAGAGCAGTGTCATGAAACTCACTGTCTCTTGCTCATGCTCTACCTATTCTGTGGCTAAATGAAAGACTTCAGTCTCCAAGACTCTCCATCCAATATCTTTCACAAGAACTAAAATGTACTCAATTGTTTTAAATATAAAGAGATGTATTTTCCCCCTACACTTTGCATCTCTTTAATAGTAGAGTAAACAATAATATATTTCAATGAAAAAGAATTGTCTTCAGCCTGAGATTCTTAGTCTAACTCAAACTATCCATTCGCCAATAACTTAATTCTCAGTTATACCATGGCTCATTTATGTCACTCTTGTAGCAAACAGGGGCCTTAAAGTGGGACTAAATTACATTTGCACCTACTTTAAGGCCTGTTTATACTGCCGGAGCAGCGTACAGGGGCTGTACCATAACTGAGAATTCAGTCCTAAGACTCTACTATTGCAATGACATATATATTACAAATAACTAAGCAAACACAGGTTCCTTTACCACAAGAGACAATAAAAATGAGACAAAAACAAGTATGACTTTAAACAAGTGTAATATAGAGATCACTTGCAAAAGATTTAGATGAAGTCTAAGCTCTGGACAAATTTTCCTCATCAAATGTCCTACACCCAAAACGTAGTGAATCTGCCACGAAGAAAAATTCCTTCCTACTCCCACATATAGCAATCGGGATAACTATTTGCATAAGGACAAAGATCAACTCACATCAACAGTAATCAGTAGTTAAATAACTGCAACATGCACATGATCTGTGAGAGACCAATATGGGAAGGGCCAAATGATGTCAGTGCTTACCAAGGAAAAGCTATGGGAAGAGATGGTGAGAAGAAACATCCTGTAGTGGGCAAGAAAGTGGATATGTGTGGCTGCCTTCCATTAGCAGCCTTTCATGGCCCCTCACACACCTGAAGCAACCATAATCAAGAGTGGTTTGGAAACACACCAGTCTCAGGCCAGCAGAATTCACATACAAATCCTGGCCATTTGGCTGAATAGAATGTGTGGGAGAATCTGTCCTGCTCCTAGCAGTCCTACAGATGGCAGGAATCTGTATCTGTGAACAGCTTAGTAGCAACAAAGGAGATCTAAACATCCACTCTTTAGAGTCAAATTATTTGATTCAAGCTCTTAACATCTGGATGTGCCTGCAGTAACTCTTCCAAAAGATCCCTAGCATTGTTTGCATCTCCTCATCTGAGGCCCAGTCCCCCTTCAACTCCCAGTCCCAGGCTCACTCTCCCAGGTTCCTTGACCCAATTTTCCTTCCCCAATAAGGATCCTGTCCCCTCTGCTTTCAAGTGAGGTGGCTTCCTCCTCCATACTGCCTGGGAACAAGCAGAGGGAGCACTGAGAGCAGAGGAGAGCCAATCTCCCTGCTCTGAGTTTGATGGCTGGTGCTGCAATGTGGCGAGCAGCAACAGCTAGAAAAAGCAATTGCAGGAAAGTCCTGCTTAGCCCCTGAACCCCTAGAATGGAACATGCTCAGTACAGACTGAATCTTAGTGATCATTTAGCCGCCAAACTCCCAACTGGTCTCCACTGAGCATGTGTGAACTGAGATTTTCCAAAAGTTTATAACTTGGACAAATTTAGGCAACTTTTTAGGGAACAGCAAAAGGCACATCCCTGACTCCAGGGAACCCCCTCAATCAAATATCAAGCCCATGTTTCAAAGCACAGAGGCTCTAGCGCTTCTCTGTAAAATGATTATTGGATTTATTTTAAAAAATGTGGGCAAAATAATGGACGTTTTCCTAATATCATTCTCTGAAATTGGCTGAATCATTTTTGCTGAAGCTTTAACAAACAAACACCCACACGCAGCCTGAGGTAGACAGGCAGATCTGGAAAACTTCAGCCCAAATGTTTAAAGTTTGGTAAAGTTATAAGCAATTGAAAACAGGGATTTATAATTAGATGTCTCAGGCAACCTTAACTATAGGTAGTGCTGCTAGCGCTGCCTATAAATATACAATATATACAGTATTAAAAATCGTCTGAGTATCTAAGATATAGTGCATACTACAACCATTTTAAATGCTTTGTTTGGCCAGATATTAAAAAATAAAAAGCCCATAAAAAAATTAAAACGCAAGTTGTAGAAAATTTCAAATGTCCCCTTCTGTGCCCTACCTGAAACAAAGTGACTCTTAATACATTGCAAGAATTATTTCAGAAATAAAATGAAAATGAGAAAAGGAATCCACCACTTCAAAAAAGCAAAAACAAATTATGAAGCCCAACCCTGTAGTACAAAGACAAATCCAATAACATTTAAACCACTAAGTAAAACAAAAGTCACAAATTTCATGTTCTCTAATGAGGCACAAAAAAGAATGGTCTTTCCCCTCCTAGCTGAAGAAATGACATTTGCTGCCAGCATCAGCTCCCTGGGTGCTTTACCTAAGGGGGAGGGATAGCTCAGTGGTTTGCACATTGGCCTGCTAAACCCAGGATTGTGAGTTCAATCCTTGAAGGGGCCACTTAGGGATCTAGGGCAAAATCAGTACTTGGCCCTGCTAGTGAAGGCAGGGGGCTGGACTCAATGACCTTTCAGGGTCCCTTCCAGCTCTATGAGATAGGTTTATCTCTATTTATTTATGTATTTGTTTGCCATCACTGACAAGAAGAGGAGGATTACACTTGACATACAGGATTTCCAACATTTTGTTGACAGCAAGATTATTCAAATCACATTTCATCTAAATGCAAATTCCTACAAGTTCTAGCTCCTTCTGTAGACCCTAACACTACAGTCTGGGTACCCAGCTATGGTGGCACATCCCTCTGATGCTCGCTTTAGGTTGGCTGAGTGGGCTGAACAATGCTGGAGTATACTAGGGTTATGGCAATCGCTGTGGGGAGAGGAAGAAGGGAATGATTGTGGAAGGGCTTGTTTCCTGGATCCTTGCTGTGGTATTTGGAAGGAAACTGACTGGTTTAGATCAAATACCAGGCACAGGCTGAGAGTACACTATTTAATATTACTTTCAGGGTCTTTTCACAGAAGATTACGGTGTCAATAGTGGCCCTGGGTTCATGTTGATAAATTCAAGGCTTATAAAATTGTTGCCATAAATTTGTTGATTAAGGATGATGCTCTGGCATTGCCTATACTAATTATTCAGGGAGACTGCATCTGATGTTAGTCAAGTGTTTCTTGCAATGAAGATTTTTCACATTATTTTGCATTAAAATTGCTCAGATTCAGACTGAGCAATCTGCTTCTAGATTGGTGGAACTGATTCTTAAGGGAACAAGTGCTGAGTTCGTGGTGTTTACGTTCCAGTTGGTGATACTCATGGAGGTTGTATCTGGAAGTTTAGGGAATGTACTTGTTAGGACCTATGAGTTAGAGCCATATCCTTACCCTGGTTTGTGAAAGCCAGCAGGGTGGTGTTGGGACCACTACTGGAGATTACTGTTAACTCTTCCTTGGAGGTAGTCAAGATGTCAGCTTCATTTTAAAATGGTTGCTAGATCTCTGAGTCAAGAAACCATCCCTTGATGTAGACCATCTACCCAATTATTTCCCTGCTTAGTCTGCCATTTTTGAGAAAGACTACCATGACATCTGAAGGGAGGATATGCCCATAATATGTGGCATCCTCAGGTCTTTTTTAACATCATGAATCAATTTGTTTTTTGGCCTCGGAACAGTATGGAGAGACTACTCAGGTAGCGCTGGTTTATGGCTTCCTTCTGCCAAAGGATGAAGATCAGATGCCCAAGCTATTATTTTTTAGTACAGTCAAGCTGCCTTAAATATCATTAATTTTGTGAACTCACATTTGCCAAATGAGAATCTCAGATAGCTGCAACTAGGAAATAATTTCAAATAAAGAAACAAACAAGATTTCACATTAAGTTTGTACGAAGGTTAGCATGAACCTTAATGAAAACTTCAAGTGGCTTCAGCTCCTTCTTTCATTATACCCCTACAATATCCATCTCCACAGATGGACCTAGGACCAATCACTTACCACAAGGTGATTTTAGTGTTCAGTGACCTTTACTACCTTACCCCTTTTTCTTGGTGTCACTGTGTGGGCCAATCAGCTGTCTTTCAAAGAAATCAGAAGTCAGGAGAATGTTAAATGCCATTGATATTTCATCCCTAGAAAACCCCTTATGATAAGCTACAGAACAAAGTCCTAGAGCCTTTTGGGA